ACCCTTTGCTGAATACACCAGCTTCATAGCCTCCACTATCCAGTGAGATGCTGCCGATTCCCCTTTCTCTAGGGATTCTGAGAGAGGAGGGTGGAAAGCCTTAATTTCTACATCCATACATGAATAGCCAGGCTTGATTACCTTGTGCACGAATGCTGGGTTTGGAAGCAAGATAACTCTGGAAAAGTTTTGTGTATACCTGATACATGCAGGGTTGATAGGCAATGCATGTAACTCTCCGACCCACTTCATAGAGGTCAGGGCAAGCAGCAAAGCTGTCTTGTATGAGACAATCATCAACTCTGCAAGATGGTTCCCAAGTTTTCCCCGAAGGGACTCACGAAGGTCCTGGTCCGACAGATCATATGCTAGTAACATAGGTCTGGTAATTGGTTTCAGACGGCGCACACCCTTCATATATCTACTTATGATAGGATGCTTTCCCACTGTTTCACCATTAAATCCCATATGACATGATGAAATGGCCGCCAGGTACACTTTGATTGTAGAGAAGGCTTTGTCTTCTTCTAGTATCTCTTGAAGGAAGGTAAGAATGTCCGACACTGATGAAAGAATATTTTGTCTTTCCTGACACCATAGGCGCTTTCGCACCAGAGGAACCTTTTCATAGTTCCTAGAACTACTGCCAGAAGTTCCCGCTTTTTGGCGTCTTCGCACCACAGGAACTAGGAACGCATTTAGTTCTAGGAACACCATTTAGGGGAACTAAATGAGTTCCTAATTCTGAGCAGGGTCTAAAAAAGTTATACAGGAACTACCAGTGACATAAGTGTACACTGATTGGCCAAACACATACGAAACACTGGCTATCCAGCGTTTTTAAAAAGCCGTGTAAAAATATTTACTCCATGAACATGGAAAACAGCTATAACATTTTGTTCTTTTCCCAGCCTCGACGATAACACTGCAAGTTGTCATTGGAGATTTAGTCAGATTTTCATGCTCTTTCAATCGTGTAAACTGTGTTTACATCTCCATTATCACGAACCCCACGACGCACAACAAAAACAGCTCCGAACACAACGTCCTCCATTCACCGGTTGTTGATGTCTGTAAATGCGAATAAAGACGTCACAGTCGGCCACTTCTAAGTTCCTGCTGCCGGTGCAAATGCAACCAGGAAAACGGCCAGAGGGAGAAATTGGATCTCTAGGAATGACCTTGCTGGCAAGTTCCTAGAACTACACGGTGCGAAAGCGCCTCATGTCTCAAACCTTTTCCATTTTGCCTCATACATAGATCTGGTGGAGTCCACTCTAGCACTCAGTATGGTCGAGATCACATTCTGGGGCAGGACCAGAGCGTTCAAGACCTCTCATGGGCCAGACCCAAAGATTCAACCTCTCCGGATGTGGATAAAAAATCCTCCCCCCCTGCCAGAGGGAGGAGGTCCATCTCTGCTGTCCATGTCCTCCCTGGTCATGATGGGGTTATTAGGAGCACCCGCACCCTCTATATTCTGATTCTGGACAGTGTGGGCAGGAGAAGGCTTATTGGTGGGAAAGCTTATAACAGGGACTCTGGCCAGGGATGTGCTAATGCATCCATCCCTAGTGGCGCATTCATTCCCTTTAGTGAGAAGAACAGGGGACAATGCGTGTTCTCTTCTGAGGCAAATAGATCCACTTTTGCCTGACCATATTTGTCCCATATTCCCTGAACCACCTCTGGGTGGAGCCTCCAGTCCCCTGGGTAACTGCAAAGAGTTCCAGACAATTTATATGCATTATTTTGACTGATTCTGTCCATACCACATGTTGTCTTTCCATTATCACTCCCCAACCCAGTGAGGATGTGTCTGTGGTGACCACCTTGAGATTTGAGACCACGCCCATTGGCACACATTCCATCAGGAATTTCCTGTCCCGCCAGATGAGCAGAGCTTTGAGACATTGGGCTGAGATGCACACCCTCCTGTGCAGATGTCTGGAGGGATTTAATTTCAGAGAAGCAGTCCATCTCTGAAAGTCTCTCATGAACATCAGCCCCAAAGGCACTACTGCTATGACTGAATCCATGAGGCCCAGCAACCTCAGACACAGCCGAAAAGATGAAACTGATTCACACAGTTCCCTAAACTCTCTCCCCTCTGTTCCGACAGGGTTGCCCAGTAAGATATTGAATTTAGATTTAAACCCAGTAATGTCACTGACTTTGTTGGAGTTAATGCGCTCTTTTTCTGGTTTACTACAAACCCCAGAGCATTCAAATCCATTAACACTGCCCTTGTATGCAGCTCTGCTATCTCCTTTGACCTAGCAAAAATTAATCAGTCATTGAGATACACTAATATCCTTATGCCCTGCTGCCTCAGAGGTGTTGTGAAAATGTGGGGTGCTAGAGACAGGCCAAACGGTAAAACCCTGAACTTGTATGTCTTCACGGATGGCCACGCAAGAGGGGTTTCCCATAGTGAGATGTAGAGCGAGTCGACCGAAAGAGAAACAAAACTCAGTCATGAACACAAATGGTCACAGTTCACCCAATATCAAAAAAAGAAAAAAAGTTTGTTTCCATGACAGTTAAGCACATTTTACGCTCTCATCTCATCATACATATAGATTTAATAACGAATTAATTAATGAATTAATTTTTTCCTGCATGATAATTAGGGTACGTAATTGTTATTAAAATAAAGTTGTTGTTTTTTTATTTGCAAGATATGCATAAAAAAACTGTACATGACTAATGAATTAAGATTTTTTTTTTAAATGTCATTAATGCATTTATTACATTTATTTGGGCCTGTTCTATAGCTTTCCATCCTCAAAAAGAAATTGAATGCAGAAATGAGTGAACTACAAAAGATACTATGAGATTAAGAATGATTATATAATGTAATTGATTAACAGAGACATTGCAATAAATGAGGGGAAAAAAACAACAACAACAACAAAAAACTGAACAGTCCTAAAAATAGCTTTTAATGTTATGAAAAAATAGATATTTTCATTCATTCATTTTTTAGGTTATGTTTATGTTTTCACAGGTTTTGTGAAATTCATCCATAAAAGGCCTGTTTCCACCTAAATAAAATATTAATTGTTTGCAAGCAGGTTTTCTGCTGCTGATGAATTTATTGTTTCAAATAAATAAATGCTAAAAAAAACTTAAATACTAAAAAAAAAAAAAACACAAATAAACAACACCACTAACAATAATAATAATAATAATATTAATACTGTATATAATGCACTATACAGTAATTTGGAAATTTTCTTTCTCATATATGGACAGTAATTAAACAGGCAACAACAGGTAATCAAACACAAATATTTAAACATCTTTACAAATTAATGTACATATTTACATATGCATGAGGAGCGCAGAGATCTTACTTTGCCATCAAGCGGCGCACGTTGTGAGCGAAGAG